TACCACACATACCACTTCCAAAAAATCATATTTTACCACATGGTAAAATCAATTACCACACATTACCACATGGTAAAATCAAATTACCATAATATACCATATGGTATGGCATGGTAAAATCAATTATAAAACAGAACCTTCACATTCAACTTCCAAACTAGCACATTTTACCACCTGGTTTGACATGATAAAATCAAATTACCACATTATACCACATGGTATAACAGTGTAAAATTAATCCAACAAAACCAAAAACCCATCCAAAAGAACAAAATAGCTTCAACAACTCAACCAGCATCAACCATTCATTCAGATAATCCTCTAAGAAAACTATTACAGCTTCAGCCTTAAACTTTCTTCAACAGCCTTCAAATTCTCCTCCTCAAGCCTGCTAGTTTTTCTCTTCTTCTTGCTTACAGCCCTTGCAGCCTCCGCAGCTGGAATTGGTCGTTTCGAAGGCTTGAATGAATCTTTTTTAGGCTTAAACCCCTTCACTTTTTGAACCGGTACATCATCTATACCAAGATAACAAAAACAAACTACAATCAATGACAGATAACAAAAACAAAAACAAACTCTAAACAATTAAAAAAAACTTACTGTCACCGTTAGAAGACGTGCTTGTTCCAGCAGGTTCAGTAATCGATAGGGCTTCACACTTTTTGATCAAATCAGTCATGAAGGCCATGGCTGATTTATACAAATCATCATCCAATGCAACCCTGCTGATCATTGATGCAGAAACAGCTGACAGATTGAAAAGACGAGAACGGTATTTCGATGGACTATCAGTAGACGGAACTTCAAAAGAAAAGTTCCCTCCAGTTTTCGCTGCCCTTGTCCACCGCTTCAAAATCAAACTGCTAGGAATGTGCTGGAACTTCATATTGCATGTTGTAGACCACAACATATCATATCCCTTAATTTGATGCTTACAGATCATACCACTTGACTCCCACTTACGGCAAGAACACTTGATTTCACCGTTTTCAAAATCAACCTTCAACACCCTACTATCCAACCTTGTAAGGTCACCCTCCAATATGAAGACATCAAACAGTCCTACATGTCCTTCTGGTTCTATCTCCGTATTGGAAAAAATATTATACGCAAGGGATTCCTTGTACTGATCCAGGAAAAACTTGAATATCTTCGGCGTATACACATTAGCAACTTGCTTCACAATAGGGCTAGTAGAAAACCGAGAATCAGCCAACCTAGATAAGGCATAGTACTCTTCTTGTTCTTCAGCATCCCTCTTATTATCAAGCATCCTCTCAAAGTGCACAAAGAACCTACTAACGCTAAACTCTGACTGCAAGTAATGTCGAATATTACTATTGCAGCACTCACTTAGCTGGGTACTCTTCATTCCCGCACCAAAATGACAATTCACCCAGGCTGAAGACCACTTCGTCCTGACTTTGTAAATGCCCTGTAACCAACTGTGTCCCAAAGGTCCCTTCCCAGGAAAACACTTCTCAATCATCTTCTTCCAATTATACTCAAAATCATCCTCATCATCAGCATTATACATCAAATAACTAAGCTCACGAAGGAAGTCAGAGTCACACAAACTTCCCAGATTAACAACTGCATTCTGAGCAATATGCCATGTACACAACCCATGAAAACAATCTGGGAAAACAGACCTTATACCAGCAGCAATTGCAGCAGCCTGGTCAGTAAACATTGATAACGGTCTCACACCTCCCATGCATTTCAAAAACTGATCGAAAAGTCATTCAAATGTTGCTGTTGTTTCATCATAGAGAAGAGCAGCCGCAAAGACAGTCAGTTGGTGATGATTGTTGAAACCAACAAACAAAGCTACATAAACATAACAAAATGTGAGTAAAAACAATTCTACCAACACATACCATGTGGTAAAAGGTACGAATAACAATAATACCAACCCATACCATATGGTAAAGACTCATACCATGTGGTAAAGACTTCTAAGAACAAAAAAAAAAAACAATCCACAGCAGACTACCATATAGTACACACTTCTAACAACGCAAAAAACCTTGTTACCAACCCATACCATATGGTAAAAAACTTTTAAGCACAAAAACCACCTCAAATAACCTTGTTACCAACACATACCATATGGTAAAATACTTTTAAGAACAAAAACCACCTCAAATAACCTTGTTACCAACACATACCATATGGTAAAAGACTTCTAAGCACAAAAACCACCTCAAATAACCTTATTACCAACACATACCATATGGTAAAATACATTTAAGAACAAAAAAAAAAAAACATGATACAGAATGATAATAATAATACTCATACAAACTAACAAACACAATAATAAACAACAAACTAGAAAACATACCTAGTGGCCGATACTCTTTGTTAGTCCGGTAAGTAGTATCAAAACTAATTGAATCACCAAAATAATGATAATCCATCCTCATCTTCCCATCTGCCCAAAAAATACTAGCAATGTTCTCTTCAACATCAACCTCCACCTCATGAAAGAACCCAGGATCCAGCTGTGCTTGACGTCTAAAGTATTCAAGCAATGCAGTCGCATCACCATACTCCATTGATGACGTCCTAACCGTTCGCAGATGGTTCTTCAAATCATTCTTTGTGAACCCAACAAACTTCCTACCACCACCAGCCCTACTAATTGCATTATACGAAGAAGTCACACCAATACCAGCAGCATCATTCACCTCTGCCAGCATCTTATACACAGGAGCCATTCGTCTGCTGGATCTCACATAGTGACGCAGAGACTCAGGAATCATGTCATGGTTGTGCACATTATACCAACGATAGATCTTGTAGCATTTAAACTCTTTAAACCACCTCAGTCGTATATAAGCACCATTACATCCACCCCTGAGTTCTGGAACATTACGAACACGAACTGTCGTATCAACAACACCTGCATTATCAGGGTTATTCTCGCTACCTCTTTTCCAACCTTCCTTATTGCAACAATACTTGATATAATATACAGCTGAAGAACCACCATTGAGTTTCGGACACGCTGATTGGTTATAAATCCTCACACCAAAACCTTCATGATTCCCATAATCAACATAAAAATTATATGCATCATCTGGTGTATTGAACTCTAAGTCCTTCCAAGAATCACGAACAGTAGGATCTATACCATTGAAACCTACAAACATTATGAAACAACATATTAAATGTATACCAATAATTACAGCCATGATACACGAGTTACCACCATAGTATGGCATGGTAAAATCAAACTACAACACTATACCACATGGTATGGCATGGTAAAATCAATTATCACACACAACCCTCACATTTAACTTCCTAATTACCACATTTTACCACATGGTAATGTACTGTAAAATCAATTACCACATGATAAAGGCATGGTAAAATCAAATTACCACCCTATACCATATGGTATGGCATGGTAAAATCAAACTACCACACTATACAACATGGTATGGCATGGTAAAATCAAATTACCACACTATACCATATGGTATGGCATGGTAAAATCAACTATCACACAGAATCCTCAAGTTTAACTTCCTAATTACCACATTTTACCACATGGTAATCTACTGTAAAATCAATTACCACATGATAAAGGCATGGTAAAATCAAATTACCACCCTATACCATATGGTATGGCATGGTAAAATCAAACTACCACACTATACAACATGGTATGGCATGGTAAAATCAAATTACCACACTATACCATATGGTATGGCATGGTAAAATCAACTATCACACAGAATTCTCAAGTTTAACTTCCTAATTACCACATTTTACCACATGGTAATCTACTGTAAAATCAATTACCACATGATAAGGCATGGTAAAATCAAATTACCACACTATACCATATGGTATGGCATGGTAAAATCAATTATCACACAGAAACATCACATTTAACTTCCTAATTACCACATTTTACCACATGATAATGTACTATAAAATCAATTACCACATGATAAGGCATAGTAAAATCAAATTACGACACTATACAAACTTCAATAAACAAACAAATTTGCATATCTTACCTCCTGATTCACCAGAGTTAGCTGAATGATCAAATCCAAGATCAATAGATGAAGAAGCAGTTCCAACAGCACTAGATGAAGAACCAGATCCTACAACGCTGGTTGAAGAACCAGATCTATCAATTGGAACAACATCGCCACAATTTACGTTACTCATCTCACCAGAATACTGCCAAAACACCAAAACACAAAGAACATAACACATGAACAAGCTCGATTAGCTAAACATAAACAAGCTCGACTAGCAGCAATCAAAAACCTCCAACGAAACCAGAGATCAACAGAAAACTCGATTAGCTAAACAGAAAGAATCAAAAAAACTAATATCTAACCTCGTCGTCGATCAATTATGGAGAATCAGAAAAGATTCGCCGTCCCCTGTTTCGCAGCCGCTGCTCGCAATTTCTCTCTACAAAAACCGAATCCAACTCGCGCACACGTCGATCAATTATGGAGAATCAGAAAGCTCGATTCGAAGCTGCTGCTCGCAGTTTCTATCGCCGTCGATCAACAATGGAGAATCGCCGTCCTTATTTCTCAGCTGCTGCTCCCCCTGCTCGTAGTTTCTCTCTCCAAAATCCGAATCCAACTCGCGCACAGAAAAGATTTGCAACGGACAAAGAGGGAAAGTCATTTAATTCAAATATAAAATATCGGACAAAAATGCCCCTGACCGTGGACAAAAAACCCCGCATCAATCACAGCCACAAGATCCGTCCCGCCAAGATCGACGGTCCCTATGTGGTTACTCACGGGTGAGTAACAAAGGGTTACTCACCCTATCCTAAGCCTCTTCAAGGCGCCAAATGATAGAGCCGAATCGGCCCAGATTCATGTTTGAGGCCCAATCTTTCTACAAAATTGTAGCCAGTAAATTAAGTTAGAACTACCCTCGGAAAACATAAACAGCTTTCAGAGCCTGAACCAGAACCAGAACCAGTGACCACATCCAAACCCGCAAAAATGGAGACCGCGACGGAGCCTCCTTCCGTTCCAGCTTCCGATGCCGCCGGCGGTGGCCGCTCTTCCCCTTCAACGGAAGCCACACCGTCCCCAACTCTACCCAGAACGCGCCCCGCCACCGCAGAAAACTTTGAAGACCTCATTGTGGAGTCCCAAGATGAAGCCTCCGACCCGGCCCTGCCACTTACCGTTAATCCCGCCGACGAACAACCCGCCCCGCCGCGGAAGCGGCGCCGCCGGAAGCGATTCTTCACGGAGCTCAACACCGCCAACCCTTCTCGGTACCGTTTACCGGGAGGCCGATCCAAGGAACTCGACGTCGAAGCCTTAATTGCAATCTCGGTAGGGTTCCCCGCCGATTCCCTCACGGAGGAAGAAATCGAAGCCAATGTCGTCTCCAGAATCGGAGGCGCCGAGCAATCCAACTACGTGATCGTTCGCAACCACATCTTAGCTCGCTGGAGGTCCAATGTCTCCGAGTGGCTGACTCGCGAGCAAGCTCGCGAGTCCATTCGGACGGAACACCGAAACCTAGTCGATTCCGCTTACGATTTCTTGCTCGAACACGGCTACATCAATTTCGGAGTCTCCCCCGCCATTACAGAAGCTCAGTCGAAGCTGAACCCGGGAAAAGAAATCGCGAATGTCATCATTGTGGGGGCCGGATTCGCCGGTTTAGTTGCGGCAAGGCAACTCACAGCCATGGGATTCAAAGTCGTGATCTTAGAAGCCCGATCTCGACCCGGCGGCCGAGTCAAGACTATGAAATTAAAGGGCGATGGAGTGGAAGCATCGGCTGATGTTGGCGGGAGTGTAATCACAGGGATAAACGGCAACCCACTGGGAGTTCTCGCAAGGCAATTGGGGCTTCCACTTCACAAGGTAAGAGACATTTGCCCTTTGTATCTACCAAATGGAAAGCCTGTGAATCCCGAGATAGACACCAAAGTGGAAGCTTCTTTCAACAAGTTGCTAGATAGGGTCTGTAAGCTTAGACAAGCCATGATAGACGAAGTGAAATCAGCTGATGTTAACTTGGGAACAGCATTAGAAGCATTTAGGCATGCTTATAAGGTGGCTGAGGATCACGAGGAACGAATGCTGTTGAACTGGCACCTAGCAAATCTCGAATATGCAAATGCTTCGTTGATGTCGAACTTATCAATGGCCTATTGGGATCAGGATGATCCGTACGAGATGGGTGGTGACCACTGCTTCATTCCAGGTGGAAATGAGACGTTCATTAAGGAACTTGCAAAAGGCCTTCCGATTTTCTATAACCGGGTGGTGGAGAGCATTCGATATGGTGCTGATGGTGCCCTTGTCTATAGCAATGGCCAAGAATTTCGTGGTGACATGGTACTATGCACGGTTCCATTAGGCGTGCTGAAAAAGGGCAGAATCGAGTTTGTGCCCGAGCTTCCGCAGAGGAAGAAGGATGCTATTCAGAGGCTAGGGTTCGGGATGTTGAATAAAGTGGCCTTGTTGTTTCCTCACGATTTCTGGGGAGGAGAGATCGATACATTCGGCCATTTGACCGAAGATTCCGCCATGAGAGGTGAGTTTTTCCTAATCTACAGCTATTCATCGGTTTCGGGTGGTCCACTCTTGATAGCACTTGTTGCTGGTGATGCTGCGGTTCAGTTCGAGACCATGTCACCAGTGCAATCGGTCAGAAAGGTGATGGGAATTTTAAGGGGGATCTTCCACCCCAAAGGGATTGTGGTTCCTGATCCAGTTCAATCGGTTTGTACTCGATGGGGTCAAGATTGCTTCAGTCACGGGGTGTATTCCTACGTGGCGGTTGGATCGTCTGGGGACGATTACGATGTGTTAGCTGAGAGTGTTGGAGATGGAAGAGTGTTTTTTGCAGGGGAAGCGACTAATAAACAGTATCCTGCAACTATGCATGGAGCTTTCTTGAGTGGGATGAGAGAGGCTGCCAACATACTCAGAGTCGCCAAGAAGCGATCTTTGGCTCAAACTACCAAACCTATTGAAGAACTCTGTGGTGCCAACGAGCTGGATGAGCTATACGAGAAGCCTGATCTTCTTTTTGGTGGGTTCTCAGTTTTGTTTGATCCTAGGTCGAGCAACGATGACCATGATTCGAGATGTTTGTTGAGGGTCAAGATCACGGGAGGAGAATCGGGGGTTGATTCGGTTAGTTTGTATGGGCTGGTTTCGAGGGGGCAGGCGATTGAGCTGAGTGAGATTGATGGTGGTGATGATGGTAAGAAGCGGCTGGAAACGTTGAGCGACAAGTTTGGAGTTCGGTTAGTTGGGAGGAAAGGGTTGCCTAATGAGGGAGAGTCTCTTATTGCAGAGATCAAGGCAGCAAGATCTGAAATGGATGTAGGAAATTGAGGTTAATGTACTGGTGTTAAGCTTATTGAACGTGGATTAGATGGTCGTTGTCCGAATTTGTTAAGAGATATTTTGCTAATCCATTTTTGCTTAATCCTGTTTGGATTGATGTCTAGCTTAAGACTTTAGTTGAACTACATCGTGTGAAGCTCAGCTAGGACTAGGAGTAGGGATGGCAATGGGTCGGGTTTTGCCAAATCCAAACCAATGGGTTTATCCATGAAAAAAATCCGGGGTAAAACCGACTGGGTTTGAAAAACTCAAACCCAACCCGCTGGGTATTCGCGGGTTCATGGGTACCCACGGGTGTTTGTCGTAAAAAATTTACAATAATAAGTTCCTATCAAAATTAAAGTCAAATATCAATCTCTCAATACAAATTATCCATATTTAAAACACCATTCTAGAAAATTCAAGTAAATCACAAAATAACTATACAAATTGTTCAACACCAATCTAGAAAACTCAAGAAAATTGAAGCAAATCATAAATTATCCATAAATAACATGATTAATTGAAAGCTTCTTAGATAACATCAACTTCATTCTTCACAATTAGAAAGAAAAAATTAGACATGTCTCTACAAACATAAATAAGATTAGTTGTTTAGAATATTAAATATACAAAAATATTAATTATATCGGTGTGGACGGGTACCCATGGGTCGGGTTTGCCTAAATCCAAACCCAACCCGGTGAATAGTGAACGGGTTTAAATCCAAACCCGACCCAAAACCCGTCAACACCGATTTTACCTGCATTGACCGGGTTGGTCGGGTGGGTACCCGTGGGTTCGGGTTTTGTTGTCATCCCTAACTAGGAGCGCATGATCCTTGAACATTTCTGTAGGTAGATCATGGAGTGAACTTCTAAATATGATGAGAAGTAGAGGTGACAAATGGATTGGATTGGTGGATTCATGAATTGGATCAAATAATTGGTAGATTGGATCATGGATTTAAGTGACACCTAAATATTGAATCAATATGTAAATTTTGAAAAATTTAAGTACTACAATGCTATAATAAAAAATTTATGCAACAAAACGTATTTTTTCAATGATATCTATCTATCTATCTATCTATCTATCTATCTATCTATCTATCTATACATAATATTATGGCAATTCAAAAGTAATTGTTTGCCACCTAAGCATTTGGAGAGTTCACAAATTGCCAAGGTGGACAATATTTTTACAAAAAGAAAAATAGTTATTGATATATTTATGGAGCTATCTCTCTCTTCATTTAATATTTCATTTCTCTTTTATCTTTTTTTGTATTATATTAATGTACACAATAATAAATAATGTACGAAAAGTGACATATATTATCTCTAACTTTTTTTAATAATTATATTTCTTTTCCAATACTTCCTTTATGTTTTTGTTTTTACTTTTGCATTGTATCGATGTACGCAACAATAGACTAATGTCTTTGAGTCACACATATAACTTTTTTCTCAACCAAAAAAATATCTTATTAAAGCTCGCTAAGTAAATTTTTAACTCACTTTTACAATAATTTACAAATATGTTACAGTTTAATGAACAATTTATAAAAACACACATACATAATAACATTTTATCGCGACAAAATAAAGATGGAAATTAAAGAGAGAAAACAAGAAACGTTTGAATAGAAACTTGACCAAGCAATTAAATCTATTTCTTAAACAAAAACCTTATTCATTCTAATTAAGTGAAGACATATGAATCATAGGTGCAATAATTTACAATGTATCCTAAGTTCAAAATACGAATATTTTGCATTTTTGCTCTAGATCGTGTTAATTGAGCAAACTCTACTGAAGTTTTACGTCATATGTTAAGAAATTTAATTTTCAAACTTGGAGTAATAAATTTTCAAGGATTATAAATCAAAATTTTCAAAATGACTTCGGTATGATTGTTTATGAACTTGACTTCATATCTTAAGATGAGACACGAGATACATTAAAAAATCATACATGTGAAAGTTAGATGAATCTTTGTTGAACTGTATGTTAAACATCATGTGTTCATCAACCACTAACTTATGCATTAATCAAATAAAGGTTTAAAATCTATCTATGGCAATTCAACAATAGTTTGTTGCCACATAAGCACTTGAAGAATTTACAAATTATCATGGTTGACACTTTTTTTACAAACACAAAAGTAAGTTAATGCTCAATTTATGTAGCTATCTCTATCTTCATTTAATGTTTCCTTTTCCTTTTATTTAATAATTCATGTGTACCTTTTGTAGTATATATGTGTAGCAGCAGTATACTAATGTTTGGAGCTGGCATGTATCGCGATTGTTTAAACAAAAATATTTGAATAAATCTTATTAAGTAAATTTTCAGTTTACGTCATATGCTAAGTAGGTGTTAGGCCATTACCTTTTGATTTGTCGTTAGGAGAATAAATTTTGAGTGATGGAAAGCAAACCAAATAACGGGTGTTAAATGCAATAGAGAGTGAAGATACCCGGGTAGACGAAACTAACTATGTCAACAATTTGGTGGCGCATGTGAAAAATGGTGCAGGAGGACAATTTAAAATTCAGCTGGCGATGTTACTATATGAGCCGTGAATTGGTGGACAAAGGTGAGGATTGGACAGAGCAGATCTGGTATAGAACTTCAGTAGCGGTCGTGACAAAATGTGGGAGGAGACAACTTAGCAATTGATACATATTGAGTAAATAATATTTAAATAGCTAAACCTTTTAGCTTTTTTAAATTATTAGTCAAACCTTTCGAACTACAAATGATTAGCCAAATATTTTGTATCACTTCAAAATATTAACCATTTGTTTGTTATCATTAATAATTTTGTAAATCTTTTTTAATTAAAATACTAAATTGGATTATAGACCGTCACGTGTCTCTTCCAACTCATCGTCATGTTGTTGAGTCAACATTACTAACAAAATGCTAACCGGGAGTTAACGTTTGGCTAATACTTTGTATTTTGAATTTTTTTTGAAAAATTTGGTTAATAAAATGTATTTACTCTGTTATATAATATACTAAATTTGGGTCTTTTGATAGTCATATGTTAACTAGGGATGGCAATGGGTCGGGTCGGTGGTGGATAGTGCATATTCGTTACCCTACCCAAAGTAGTTCGGATTTTACCCATACCCATACCCACATGTGAAACAGGTAGAAAATCAAAACCATGCCCATACCCGTTCGGGTTTCGGTTATCCACGGTTATCCATGGGTAATCATTTCTCTTCATAACTTCAACCAATATGTTAACATTCACACGAATTCTCACATTACGTAAGAGGAAAAGTACGACAATAATTCACTAGAATGAAGAAAATTAATTAAAACAACACAATTTCATGAAAATATTATACTTATATGCTAAATATAAAATATGTTAGAGAAAAATAATGATTATATCTAGAGAAAATACATATGCATTTGTAGGCTTGGCAACGGGGCGGATCGGGGCCGGGTACCTTGTATCCGTTCCCCACCCACGATGGGCTTCGGGTTTCCCCGTCCCCGACCCATACAGACTTCCGGGTCTGGTAATATAACCAACACCATCACCACTGGATTTTCGGGTGCCCGCGGGTATGAAATACCCGCAACAATACCAACAAAAACACTGAATTATACGAAAAAAACCTGAACATCTCCCTGTATTATCAAAAACAAATGGACAAGAACAAACGACAAACACAAAATCAAAGTTAGAACTCTCAATCCATACACCACTAAACTAAAAAAACTTAATGAGTCTTCTGAAGAATGTCAAGCACACATCCGTCAGTCGATTCCTTCCTTGATCTTCAATCCTCTAAGATCGAATTAAACCGAGTCTACAAAAACCAAAAAAGGGAATGAACAACAAACAAAACTAGTTAGTACTGTGCATGCATGTCTATATTGACACCACGAACCCAGAAAAAGTACACAAGAAATCAAGATCTTACCCAGAAGAACTTGGTCTCGAGTCTCGTCTCTGCCTCTCTGTCTCTGCCTAGAACTTGGTGTCGAGTCTCGTCTCTGACTCTCTGCTCGCTGGGGACTGGGTGTTCTGGATGTAAGAAGATGGCCAGATTATGAGAAACGAAGGTAGAACACTCGCTAGGAAATTCCCCATATATATAGGAGTAGAAGAGTCAGTTCATTATTTAGGTCTAACCTCAAAAATCGAATGAAAATAAAAGAAAGAAAGAGATGAGAATCCTTATCTGTCAACGAAGATTCAACAATTTGGGAGCATGATTCAACTCCTAACGACTCTTTTCTCAGTTTTCTGGGATGTGGTCGACGAAATCGTCGTCGAATGGTTGCTCCTCTTGCCATTTGATTGGAGGAATTGAAGACAGATGACAAGGGGAATAGGAGAAAGTCTCTGGATTTGGCGATTTGGAGAGGGGAAAGGGCGAAAAATCTGTTCAATCGCAATTTTTGTGCGATCTGATCGCCAGAGAGGCAGAGAGAAAGAAGGAATTAGGGTTTCTTTCGTTTTCAAGGGAATGGATCGAATGAACGAGGCGGCTAGGGTTAACTCTGAGTTTGGAGGGAATATATACCTCGAGCAAAACTACGACGTTTTGCGGGACGGGTAATCCGTCGGGCGGGTTATGGGGCGGATAGTTCTCGATCCGTCACCACCCGAGACCCATCGTTGACGGATACCGGTTTCACCGCGGCCCGTTGACGGGCCTCAAACCAGCAACCACCAGGCCCAAATTCGGGCGGGCTTCGAGCGGGTATCCGCTTGCGGACCCGGGCCTGCCATCCCTATGCATTTGTATAATCGGGCGAGTTCGGGTTGGATAGTGAGAAATCCATGTCCACCCATTAGGCCATTACCCACAATATTCGGGTTTGGGTTTTACCCGTGCCCAATAAATGTCTTTCGGGTTCGGGTTTTACCCTACCCGATTAGGCCGGATTCGGGTGGATATCCACGGTTACGGATATTTTTGCCATCCCTAATGTTAACATAAGATCGTTATGAGACTTCATGAACATTCACGTGAAAATGAGGCAAGATTAGAGAAGTTGATCATCGGTATGATCTTTCTTAGCAAACACATGCATTCTTTTTTTCAATAAAACACATGCATAACTAATAATATATTTACGGAATAAAATAATTTGATAAAAATTCAATGAAGCAAGAATAGATCACCTCATTGGATAAATGAAAATGATAAGTAAGAATAATTTTTCTTTCACTTATAATGTGTACTTCCATCCCTTGTTTTCTTTTACAATTGTTCATGTTTCCCCTTATTTTCTTAACATTTTATAAATCCTGGTAAAAAACAAGTATTAATTACACTTAAAAATAATTAAACTCTTTTTAATATATATGCTATGACAATAAATGTGGCCATACAGAAAAATGCATATATTAGTATAAGTAATAAAATTTTTATTTCTAAACAAATACCAAACATAAATGAATTTTAGAAAACAAAGGTTCTACAAGTTGTAAAATTATACACTAACGCACCATATTAAGATCAAAATCCGTATGTGAGTATCTTGGATTGAGATTCTAAAATAATATATAAACAACGACAATGAGTCTTAGTTAGTCCAAATTAAATTTCAGAAATTAGCAATTGATACATATTGTATAAGAGACTAAATACAAATAAGATCTTACAGTAAACTTCATGAACATCCAAAGTGTCAACTTTTAATTGGGATGAAGAAATTTATCCAATAATCAAGTATATGTACAAAGAAACTCTAACTAAGATGTCCTCATCTGAACAACGTGGATTCATATAAGATAGAAAATTGTACATGGGACGTGGTATACGTTTGTGACATGGTTTATGATTAGAGAATTCAAACATTATAAGTGAATGTGCCAAGTATTGAGAATTTTCAATATATAGACACACCACATACTCACTTATCAATACAAAATATAATAAATTAGAAGGTCTAAAATAGTTTAAACATATAGATAAATTGAATTAATGTCAACGATAAAATGAAACTCTCCTGCCAACGGGCCGGGTAAAAAGCTAGTTTTTATTTAAAAACCAATCTTATGTACCAAAATTGCAAAATGTACAAAATATATGTAATCCATTAATCTAATTAGATTTGGATAGTTAAAAAATTTATAAGTGGGATTTGGATCAAATGTATTGGATTTAAATGGACAGGTTGTGTGGATGAGGTAGTCCAAAGAGTTATTTCGGCCGAAATAACTTGTTTGGCAAAAATAAATTTAGAAGTGGTATTTTTGTCCATAAAACAATTTAAATAACTCATTGTGAGGTATTTGAAATATCTGCCCATCGAAATAACTTGTTTGGCAAAAATAAATTTAGAAGTGGTATTTTTGTCCATAAAACAATTTAAATAACTCATTGTGAGGTATTTGAAATATCTGCCCATCGAAATAACTTGTTTGGCAAAAATAAATTTAGAAGTGGTATTTTTGTCCATAAAACAATTTAAATAACTCATTGTGAGGTATTTGAAATATCTGCCCATCCCTTAGTTATTTCAAATATCTCTCGACGTTTTTTTCACAAAATGTCACATACCAAAATAATACAACATTTTAACCGTCCAAAAACACTCAAAATTGAATTAATTAAATATTTAAGTGGGTGAATTACCATGATTGGATTGAGTTGGTGGATTGGATACAAAACTACATCAGGAGTAGAATTCTAAATTAGAATTTCATCCTTTCATTTCCTTATTCTTGCTGTTTGGTTGTCTTCTTGTCGACTGACTAGCCAAATGATCAAAATCCAGAGTGGGGTTAGAAGAAGGTGGAACCGGTGAGCTGAGTTGAGTTGCTATCCACAATCCCATCCACACACATCGTATTTAATTTATACAAATTAATGAAGAGAAGAGAAGAGACGTGGGTGAGTTGGAAAAGAATTATGGTGACGATATCACACACAACTTTGATTAACTAAATTACATTTTGGAAAAATAATATAAATATTGTTGGGAATGTGATTTTTTCAAGCACTAAACCGACCATCTGTCCCTAGAACAAGCCAGCCAGCCAGCCAAATTCCAAAGTGATTTCCCCTCGCATCTTGAGAAAGCGACACCGTCTTGGTCGACATAAAGCGTCAAACCAAATACTTGAGTTAATCAAATAGTATTGATCCGCCACCACTAAACACTAATTGTCATCATGACTCATGGCCGTACTTCGGATAAACTTTTGAAAATAATAATGGAGCGACAATAAGTACATACTAGGCCCTTAACTATCTATACGAACCTTTCCATCCTTGAAGTTTCACATTTAACATTTTCATCCTATTAATTTCGGCATTAACAAGCGAACAATCCTCGATCGAGCGTAAATCGATATGTTCTATGTTATTGTTCAATGATAAGTGTGATATAACATGTCAAACTAAAATATATTCAAGTTTCACATTTTAACCTCGGTTTATGATATGCATGCATCATTCGTCGAGAAGAAAATTAGAAAGTTTGCATGATACTTCAAAGTTAAAGGTCAAACTAAATACTATACAATGCCTCGAGTTTGAGAGTGCAACAACATCTCAATCTATATAAAAGATTAATAAACTACATGAAGCAAGTGACTATGCCAACTTCTTAAGTCAAAACTTCGAGCAAATCAAAACCTTGTCGAAGAGGATACACCAATCAATAATAAAACACGAGTGACGGGGGAAAAAAATTCCAACAAAAAGGTAGGATATAGCGTTATGTGTATCATAGGTTCAATATTTAATAATAACATGCTTCTCAAACCCTTAGTCGTAGTAACTGATATAAACACTAGTAACCCAAGTTCACCTTAGTCAAAATATAATATGTCTTGAGCATGTTAATGAGGTTTGTCTTGGATTCCATTGGTCAACAATTCAACATAACCAAATATATAGATATTACCATCTCTCCAAAAAAAAAAAAATATATATATATATATATATATATATATAGATATTACCAACATTATAAAAATTTAAGGACTATACGTGTAGAAAGATGAAACTAAGGGTACGGTCTACAACTTTTAACTCCACCATCCCCGTGACGCAAATCTCAAGGCCTAGGGGCTTCGGATCTTTAAAAAATAATAATTAAGCCCGTTAAACGTGACCCCACCTGATACATCACCCACACAGGCCCACTTTACTGGGCCCCCACACCGACCTTTGCTGTTGCTCCCCTCCATCGTTGTATTTATCCTTTCCAGGCCGACATTTCCGGTCACTTCCCTTCCACGTGTCCGCCTTCTCATTGGCTGGCCTCCGTACACCGTGTCTCTCTCTCTCTTGAACTTTTGCTTTTTCACTCCATGCCTCCCTCGCCGTTCACGTACGGTACGTTTTATCACAGAATTTATTACGGGAACGGTAGGAACCTAGCTGGATGGGAAATCAATACGAATGGGATGGAATGGAATTGAAGGGGAAGATGGAGTGATTACATGAACCAATAATTTACTGAATTTTTTTTAAAGGTAAACATCAGTTTGATATATTTAATTAGATGCTAATTTATGTTGTCGAATTCAAGACTTATAGGTTCAAAATCAGTGGTATTTCCACTGGATCAACCTTTAAACCGATATCAATTATTTCGAAAATAAATCCTATCCATACTCATTACATGATCAATGAAACTATCACCAAGTACTTTGTTGTGTTAACAAAAAGATATAAAGAGAACAAATATTTCAATATGTCATCGCATCTGTTGATAAAATAAAAGAAGTTTAGAATAACTATTTTACATAGCCTAGCAATTCTGTTGAAAACATTGATTAAATCCGGATCATCAAAATCCAACTTCTCGTAACGTCAATTTAAACAATCCACCATACATACTTACTTGGCTTCCTAATCAAAGAGGGCTAATAAGTTGTACTATATTTTTATTACTACTAATCTCAGAGTTCAGATTTTTTTTTTAATTAAAGGACGAGGAAACTTGCCGACGACTCCCCCAGACACTTGTCAGAATCTGGACGGCTACCACACCGTCCAAAAGCTATTCAACGGCTCACGTCCGTTACAACAGTTACCATTGGATCCTCCTCCGTCCTCTCCCTTTTCTCTTTCCCTTTTCCTCCCACGCGTCAAACCCGCGTTCCCAAACTAGTATAAAACTTCCCTCCACTACGCTTCCATATTTCATCAATTCATTCATCATCACCCCAAAACCCACTACTTTACTCTCTCACGAAGCTCTACTTATTACTCTCTCACAAAGCACAAAAAAAAATGGCGGAAGAGTTCAACAAGAGCAGCACCGTGCACGACAACGTGGAAGCCAAGGACCGCGGGCTGTTCGATTTCGCGAAGAAGAAGGACGACGAGAAGGAAGCCGGTGTGATGTCGGCCGAGTTCGAGGAGAAGGTCCACGTTTCCGAGCCTGTTAAAGAGGAAGAGAAGAAGGAAGAAAGCGGTAGCTTGCTCTCCAAGCTTCACCGATCCGGCAGCAGCTCCTCCAGCTCCGTAAGTCGTCTCATCATATCCCTCTCAAATTCGGAGGCTAAAGTCTTATTACCTTTTTTTTTTCAAATTCGTTAGAAAAATTACGACTATAACCCCTCCTGACTATAACGTGGCTCCGCCACTCTGATCTCTCTTCTTTGCTTTTTTTCTAATGTTTGACTGATGTCGAAATTTCTATGGTGTGGCAGTCGAGCGAGGAGGAGGTAGAGGAAGAGGGGAAGAAGATCAGGAGGAAGAAGGACAAGAAGAAGAAGAAGGGAGAGGACACGTCGGTGCCCGTGGAGAAGTGCGACGACGTCGTTCCGGAGGAGAAGAAGGGGTTCATGGAAAAGATCAAGGACAAGTTACCCGGCAAGAAGAGTACGGCTGAGGAAACCCCTGTCGTTGCCGTGGCGCCTGCACATCCGCCGCCGGCGGCGGTGGCTGCGACGGAGCCGGAGGAGAAGAAGGGGTTCCTGGAGAAGATCAAGGAGAAGCTGCCTGGCTACCACGCCAAGGGAAGCGAGGCCGAGGAGAACAAGGAGAAAGAGAGTCACTAAAAAAAATTTGTAAAAAAAAAACAGAGAGAAGAATTTATGGGTTTTTAATTTACAAGTTGTTTTTTTGCTGTAATTTGTGTCCATGATGCATAGTTGTGTGCAACTGTGTAATCGTGTGCCTTTCGGGTTTTTTTTTCCATTTCGATTTGGACATGTTTGTCTGTTGCTATTTTCTCCTTGTTTTATAAAATATATGAGCACTAGTGCTTGATTGTGCTTGTATGTATGTAAGTTTGGTTGGTTGATATTATCACAAGAATGCGTTTCGCATCTCTTATCACTCTATATGCCATCTCTATTACTCGCTAAACCAAGTGAAATCGTAATTCGGGTCATTATAGTGTAACGGTTGCAGCAGAGGGAAACTGGTTTTATATGAGCTAGATTTTGAGAGTAATTTGGTTGCGCATTTTCCTCTAATCTGCAAAAATGTTTGTGTTACAAAAAATTACGAGAGTGGACTGCAGAAGAAGTCGGAAGAGATCGAACGAGTTCTCAAGTTCAAATCCTTCCCGTAGCACCTATTATATATAAAAAAAAAATCAATTTAATTAGCAGATCAGCAGATGTAGCCTGGAGGTCTCTGGAAATGGAAAGAATTGAGGGGAAGGTGGCGGTCAACGTTTCTGGAGAAGTAGAGAGGAATACAAATGGCGAGAGGTGATTGGCCGATTAGGATTCTTCTGGATCTGGGATATTCGTTTTTTTGGTTTTGATTAAGGGCAAAGGTGTAATTGTAGGGTCGCGGTCGGAAGTTAATGGACACACAAGTAAGTGGCCGTGTCCTGTTACCATAATGGAGTAACAAAATGTGCGGTCCATTTTTGAACATGTCACCTAAGGTAGCAATGGCAATTGAGTTTTATTTGGCTAAAGTGAACTTTGAACTGGCCCAGAACATGAATTTTGGGTCTATGTTTGTTTGGTGTGTTGATTAAATGACAACAATGAACGAAAACCAGATGAAATCTACACGGTTCAACTTAGTTTTATTATTTCTTTTTTATGAATTACTTAGTTTTATTTATCGTTCTATGATAATAACTGGTGTACTCCAATAGTATACTATACTACATGTGATATGATCGTTAGATTTCCTTTTCTGAGCTTCGACCAATCTCAACGGTCAATTAATATTTTCTATTAAATTGAACTTCGGGTTTGAGTTTAGAGAATCGGGCCCCTGGGGTTTAACCATTAGAGGTTATGGTATAGTATCATACCTCAAACTCATATAATTCATGGTCTAGATAGGGATATCTCACTAGAAGTATCTAGAGTATAGTACACGAGTACACCAATCTGACCCTCCCTGCTATATCCTTAAATAGATACAATTAATTTTGTAAGCCTTGGGGCTTCTACATGCAATATGATTCGGATAAAAATGTAGAGCGATATGCTAAAGATGGGACTAAAATGTATTTTTATAAGAGAGATTTGGAAGATTTATTAGAAGTGTCTTTATAAGGATAAAAACTTAGACTAGACTCTTATCTTGAGCTTTCTTTATGACTACACTAATGAATTTTTCCATGGTGACAACAACTTCAATTCACTTTTCCTTTTTTCCTTTCTTCACTTAGAGATTAGAGAGTCTAAATCCACTACAAACCAGTGTTTAAGACGTATCGTATCGACGGCCGGATCGAAAAAAATCCTCTATCGGAATAGGCAGCTTTAACAGTTTGAAACAGTTAAACCCCGATTAAATCCTATTTCACACAAAATACCTTATCGCTGACTTTTTCGATACAACTTCCGGTACGGTTTCTCCATCTTTGCTCTAAACCAAATCAAACCAACTCATGAATCTCTATATACATACGATATGCATAACCATTAAGTTTACCCGTCGAACTCAGGATATGTCAAAATCTATATGGGTCCAACTATTACTAACTCCTTTGAATTGTGTATAATTAGGGGGTACAATCATGCAATCGCTTTCCACGTCGACTCGTCTGTTTTTATTTCCCTTGCTTTCGGTTGCTTTATTACGAGACAGCCAAACTTTGCGAAAATTTGCTGACAAGAGAGTATGGGGTGTGGGATCGCCATTATTATACATATACAGTCGTGACTTGATTTGCTTTGCTTGATTGCTATTCTTCTGCAGACGACGGAGACGCTCCAATATCCCAGCAACGAAGAAGAATAATTAAGTAGAGACTGAGACAGCAAGGAAGGCACTAATTTGAAGAAAAAGCTGAAATTTTCTGAATGATTCGTTGGAGGAGGACTTGAGGGAGAAGCTACTTCAATCGTTGGCAAAACTTTAAAGTCTGTGGACTTGATAAAATGGAAAGGAGGGTTTTGATTCTTTTTCTTTCGACTCGATGCATCATCCTCAGTCACATGGCATCATGCGCTTGGCACCGTGGCTTCAATTTTAGAGATGATTGAATATATATATATATATATATTGTGTTGTCGTTCGGATGGAGGAAATCTTTTATGAGTTTAAATCGGTAGACGATTTTAGTGGTATGAAACTATTGAATTATGGTTAAATTATAGGAACCTCCTACAATAACTTGGGTATAATTGCAAGTTAGGTAACTTGCATAGATCTAGTTCATTAAAATCAGTTAGAATCATCTTAAGCCATTAATTAAAATCTATAGAATTTCTATAGGTTTGGTTAAAATAAAAGAATCTGAAAAAGGTTTGGGTAAAAAATAGACATTGCCCATAGTTTTATACCGAAAATGTTGTGGAAGACTTGAATTAAATACTTTCCCTAATGACCTCAAACTTGATCTTAATACAAGGTTAATATTACGTAAAAGAAGTCTCAACTACGTAAGACTTTCGTGATGACATTTTATAACTGTTACCTAAAATACACATCCATTACATAATGCTTTCGTAATGACAGTTGTTTCTTACGTAATAATTAAATCAGAAGCGTTACGTAAGGCTTCCGTAATGACTTCACACTTTACGTAACGCAAGGTTAATATTCATTACGGAAAAGAAGTCTCAATTACGTAAGACTTTCGTAATGACATTTTACAACTATTACGTAAAATACACATCCATTACGTAAGTCTTTCGTAATGACAATGGTTTTTTACGTAACAGTTAAATCAGAAGAGTTACGTAAGGCTTCCGTAATGCCTTCACACTTTACGTAACACAAGGTTAATGTTTATTACGGAAAAGAAGCCTCGATTACGTAAGACTTCCGTAATGACAGATTACAACTGCTACGTAAAATACACATCCATTACGTAAGTCTTCCGTAATAGTTGTTTCTTACGTAACAGTTAAATTAGAAGTGTTACGTAAGGCTTCCGTAATGCCTCAACACTTTACGTAACAGAGGGTTAATATTCGTTACGTAAAAGGACCCTTCGTTACATAAGGCTTTCGTAATAACAGTAATTTCTTACGTAACAGTTAAATTAGAAGCATTACATAAGACTTCCGTAATTACTTATCACTTTACGTAACGCGAGATAAATATTCATTACGTAAAAGAAGCCTCCATTACATAAGACTTCCGTAATGATATTTTACAACTCTTATGTAAGCTATAAATACGTTATATAATTATTACGTAATACCTATTGGCTTTTACGTAATGCAGCCTGCGAAACCTGCTATAGTAGGTCAAAAAATAAAGTTACATTACGGTATTGTAGGAATTCCCTAAATTATATTTTCAATATAAAATATTTTACCGCTTACTTTTCTGATAAGACCTCCGTTACGGTTTTACAATTTTTGGTTTCACAAGAGTACTTGTCTATGTGCCCAGAAGAACTTTATAATTTGTTTACAGTTCTTAGAACATTTGATGTCTTAGTACCTACTACCTACCATATTGAAGTCTATGAAAATACACCAACAACAAAATTGATTACGTAGTGTGCCATGCTCCTGTATCGTTTTAAATTAGATTGAAGTGGTATGTATATCCTATCCTACCACTTCTTTATAGAGGTTCTCCACCACTATGTTTCCGAAGGAAGAGAGGAAAAGGAGGGGAGGTGAAGGAAAAATAGGAGGGGAGGGGAGATTTGGAGGTGAAGGAAATTGGGAGGAAAATGTTGTTTTATGGAGGAAAGTGTGCATTGGGAAGTGTGATGAATATGTTATTTTATTGGTATGTAATAGTAAAATAATTTGATTGTAATAGTAAAAGGAGAAGGGAAAATGATATATATATATATATATTATTAATTATGTAAGAATAAAATAATTTATTATGAGTTGGTATTATTTTCAATACTATTCAGGATCAAATTTATTCTTTCTTGCTAAAGGTCCGGTGAGTGTCCATCGTTGGTCAAAATTGAGAAAACAAATGGTATGACTATAATCGTTATAAGCCGGCATATAAATGGGTTATACCCCAGTCAAACCATATCACTTACTAAACCGACATAGATGTATAAACCGGTTTGATAATCTAGGATTTTAGTATGTAACACACTTTTACATGTTCACGTAAGATTTATACCATTTATCTTAATTATTATACTATTTCTTTTTCGGTAATTAGTTATAATATATTTTATGTTAACTGCAAACGTAATTATCCATGTCTCAAAGTTTATAATTATCTACATCCTTCATAACTATCTTTCCAACAAGCCAAATAATAAATAAAAAAAATCTGTATGCAACAAAAAGCATTATGTCCAAATTTACGTTCCATAACTCATGACAATTACTACATAAATGGAAGAAGAAGAAAAAAAGTAAAACAACAATCATGTTTTCTCTCCACTTTGGAGGGGCTGTTGGCACAGTGAAATTTTCTTCCAATTCCGTTCCTTCCATACTATTCAGAAACTAAAAAACAAGGGAAAGTACCTTGGGAAGCCAACTTTCCGTCCCAACTTGTCCCTCCCTCCCTTTTCTCTCGTAGAAAAACACAGGGCACGAGAACATGCTCCATTCAAAACTTCTAGCTATCTGAGAGATTTCAGTGAGGATATTTTTGTCATGTTAATTATTATAAAAATAATACACACATAAACTAAGAAAAAGTGAATATAACCTAGCCGCCACTCTAAAAATCAGGTTTTCATCAATTAAATAATTTGACAATCTAATCTTCATCGTGACAATTAATTTTTTAACAAATCATTTAGAAAAAACTGGAGAATAATCATTTTTATTATAATTTTAGGCATCTAATTAGTGCATGCCACTTAGCACTCTCTCTTTAATTTTCAATATCCTATCATATTACTGAATGGTATGAAACTCTTTCATTTCAATTTCAAATTTACATATTTGTGCATAGAAAAAATAGAATTAATGTGATTTAGACAATAATATTCATTCTAATATGGTTTAAAATAAA